AAAAAAAAAAAAAAAACAAAAGATTCTGAGTAGAGCAGCTAGCCTGGGCACACTTCTTCCCAGTCTTCAGTCAATTATGGTACTCATTCACTTTGCCTTGTTAAGATCCTGCAGGAATTTGAAACGGCTTACACAAGAGTTGGATAACTACTGCACCAATTAGTAACTAGAAAAAGGGTAAAGGGAAAAAGATTTCCAATTTTGGCTATGACTTCCTTGTTAGAATAGTCAGTATGATAGGTACAGAAAGTGGTCACCTGATGGATGAGAAATAATTAGAAACAAAATCTATCAACCCAGAAACCCTATCTACAAAAGAAATGTAAAGAAACAGTTTTATTAAGCCAGTGTGATACACACATCACACGCAAGTTACTAAGGAGATTGCAAAAACAAAAAGCTCACCCTTTAATGTAGCCAGGCAGGCCCATTCTATGTCTTACATATTCTCAACATAAAAGATGACTGATGATAAAGATTCTCTCCTTGAATAAGCTTAAACCGGCTCATCTGAGTGCAATTAGGTACTAGCATTGGACATTCCCTCCAAGAGCCCAATTTTAGCAAGAATTCTGCTAAAATGGTTTAGTCTGAATCCCTTAGCTGGAAACCCACCCACTCTCCATATATGGTCAAACTTCTCATCCTCCACTGTCACCTGGGTAATGTTGGATCACCCTGTCCGGCCTTCATCAAGAATCCTATTTAGCAGGGCCAGGGATTTAGCTCAATGGCACAGCACCTGCCTGGCAAGCTCAAGGTCCTGAGTTTGATCCTTAGTACCAAAAAAAAAAAAAAAATCCTATTTAGCCAGAATTTGGTTTAGCCATAATAGCCTCTTTTCTAGCTACTTACCACAATCACTACCCACACAAACCACCCTTCTGCTTAGCTATAAAATCCCTACTTCCTCCTGTTGTGTTTGGAATTTAGCCCTACGTCTGACTGCAAAACTCCCTCACAGAAATCTACCATATCACAGTAGTCCTGAACAAAAACCTGCCTTATCATTTTAAGAAGTGTCACGAATAGTTTTTCTTTAATATCAACCCTTGAACTACAGGCCTCGAAAATACCATTTGTGATCAAAGTTTAGGCTAAATTTCCCTGGTAACTGGAATGGCCTTCTGGCTAACTGACTTTCCCAAAGGAAAAATAAATACCTAATTAAATCTCATGAAAATCAAATTAGGGGTATATTAAGAGGTATCACCAGGTCCTTAAGATTTACATTCATTACAAAGGGGCACAAAAAGAATTCACAAGTTTTCAAAATTAAAAGAAATGATATAAGAAAAGGAATGAGGAAAATCTCTCCTTTTTTCTATCAGGGACAATTAAGTTTTTTCTTATTTCTGATTTCTACTTCTCCTTGCATGAACAATAGCTCAGCTTAAGCACTATGTGTACATGTTTATGAGGACATTATTTGCCTCAGAAATATTTTACAATTATTAAGAAACTGTCAGTAAATGAAAATGGATCAATACCTTCATAACTTCTTCAAGATACAGCGTTGAACTTCCATTTGCATAGGCAGTTTGTACTACACCAATATCCAAACTTTCTCCAATCTAGACAAAAATAGTGATATTTAACTTGCCATCAAAAGTACAGTCTACAAAAGCAAACATGAGAGTTTTTAAGGCTGACAAAATTAGCACACAGTTCGCTGTGCCTTAGTTTACGCAACAAGGGACTTACTAAAAATACGTATGCCCTCCCAAAGAACCACAGTAGTTTTGTTTTGTTTTGTTTTCCTTAAATTCTTTTATTGGTACATTTTGGTATACAATACATTTACATTTATCATTGGGTGCTTGTACCTGTACATGATGTACCTTGGTTCTTATTTTTTCCCCATTACCTGTGCACCCTTCATTGCCTCCACTCTTCCCTATTTACATAGACTTCATTTCCATTTTTTTCCTTTTCTCATAATTTTTCCTTTCCCTTCTTTGAGCACTATTTAAGAGGGAACCCTTCTTAAAGAAGCTTGGCTCCTGATCCTTATGTCTTTTATAGTTTTATTTTTATTTTTTAGTTTTTTGGTATCAGGGCTCAAACTTAGAACCTTGTGCTTTTCAGCCAGGTGCGGCGCCACTGAGCTAAATCCCCAGCCCTCTCTATATTCTTAAAGTATTTATTGAATTCTTAAAATATTCCTCTTCCCAATTATAATTTCTAATTTCATCTTAAAACCTGAAAAAGATTTCTGAAAAACTTGCATTTCTATCATCACAGTCATAATAAATCTCCAAGATGATTATTTTGTTAGAATGTGGGGATTTATGATGTAATGGTAGAACTCAATTATGAAGAAATCAAAACTTAATAAAGTTTCAAATAAAATCTAGACAGTATAAGGAAGAAAAAAAGCAACTCAGATTCCAAAATTGATGTCCCAATGTTGAAATGACTGGAATTACCATTTCTTTTTGTGTTTTCTAGCCATAAATGTGAAGAACTTCCCATAAATTATGCCTCTGAGCTATTCAAATAACTATGACATGAAACGACTTCACTAATGAGTGTGGTGTCCTAGGGCACAATCTGCCATCATACCTCCAACAGGAGATCTTTAAGGAAACTGCTAATTAACGCTGCTATCTTGTCTCCATCTATGAGATGAAACTGACCATCTGCATCCAGGTAGTAATACACAATTCTGTCTGCATCTCCATCGAAGGAACAGCATCTTTCATTAGACTTCATTTCCATTCCTAGCACACAGGATAATTTAAAATGCATTTCAGTCTAAGAAACAGGAATAAAACTCAATATGAAAAAATTTAGGCTTTTCTCTTACACTAGTAACTAGGAAACATGTTTTCAATAAAGCATGATCAGAATGGGCCTATGTGTTACGTATATATAGCATGTCCACTACAAAATTTTCAAGAGATGTTTAAAATTATCCTTTCCGATAAAAACCAGTCTTAATCTTTAAATAGTGTTGTATATTAGTCATTTTTACAGGTCGAATTCTTTCAAAATGGAAAAGGAACATTCAAAAATATGTTGAAACTTGCTATAATACTAAAAATTCTACTTTTTAAAAAAAATAGTACTAGGGATTAGATGCATTGTGCAACATCCCTAGACCTTTATTTTGAAATAAAGTTTCGCTAACTTGCTCCCAGCCTTTAAGAGTGCTAGGACTACAGGTGCGGACCACTTCACTGGCTTAAAATTCCACTTTATAAACCTGTTGGTTTGAGTAGACAGGTTTCTCCTATAGTTTTCTGACAGTTACAAGAATTTCTGAATATAATCTAACTAGTATTGTGGTGTCTTTTACAAATAAAAAAGTAATCAGCAATAGATATGTGCTTTAATTCTAGTAGAAATAGTTTTTATTTGTTCACATTACCAATACAAAGAAACATTGGTAATTAAGAGACAAGAATTATAGCCTGTAAGAGATCATTAACTGGCTGGTAAAATATGTATAAAGTTATTGATTCAGCAACTATTAGAAAATCTGGCTGTTCCTTAGCCTTAACAGCAGCAGAGTGACAAAGCCAACACAGGCAGCTAAAATATGAAAGGCTTTGTCAGGAATGTAAAATGTTGCCGGTAAGACAATTCAAGACCAAGACAGCAAGGGCTATGGCTTTGCTCACAGTGGTCCCAGTGCTTACAGCATGAGAGAGAGAATTCAAAGTGAGTAAATGGATAAACGAGTGACACAGAAGTAAATGTCAACACATGCAATTCGATGAAAACAGTCTTAAAATGGTTGACTTAATTAATTTTAAATGCTTACTCTAGGGAGGCTGAGTGAGGCAACTACATGAAGTCTGTACAGTTTGAGAATATATGTCATATTTAAAGGGTGTGGCAGCAAATTAAGTATGAAAAGATATTTTGTGATTTTGGTAAACAACAGGAATTCAGTATTTAAGAGAAATCGCAGAAATTTTAAAATAGTGGCAACTAATACACTAAACACACAGGCAACCTCCCAGCAAGCCAAACCAAACACATTAGCAGGCCAGGTTTTGCTTACAGGCTGATAAATTTAGGATCCATAATTCAACAAATCTAAAATGACATTCCCTTTCTGTGGTGTAATTTGTGAAGATGAGGTAAAAGGTAATGCTGCTTACTCTTGGTACCTTTAGATCAGTATTTTCAAAGTGCAGTCACCAGACCTTCACCACCAACAAAGCCTAGGAACTTGACAGAAAGGCTATCCAAATCATACCCCAGAGCCAGTAAATCAGAAACTGGGTGGGGCCCCTAAATCTATGTACTAACCAGGCAATTCTGATGAATGCTGAAGTCTGGGAACCATTGCTTAAAATGCCATTTTCTGATCCCAACAGGTTTCCTATCAACTATAAGCAGTGGTATGACAAATACACAGAAAGAACGTTTTTTGAATGGCATTGACAACTGTGAAGATTCCTAAATGTCTAAAAGTGTCAGAGCAAGGACCAGATACATGATTCTTAATTCATGTGACCACTTGAGACTGTAAATGACATTGGCCCCAAAGAGTTCTAAAAACAAGTTTTCACAGTGCTAGTAATACACACCCTCTGGAGGTTTCTGATGGCTCTTCACAAAGTCAGCCCCACATAAATGGTTGAGCTTCCCTTTGGTCCCATCATTAAACAGCTGAACTAATAGTCCCTGTGAGAAGTAGTGTTGCATTTCCTTTAGCTTCAGAGCCCCTATACCATTTGCACAGTCAACTTTAAGTGATCTATATTCATCTCCACTGCAGGAAGCCTTCAAAGAAGACATACGGAAGAAAAATTTCAAGTTATAAAAGTGAAATATATATTGTATATATATAAATAAATACCTTCAATTATTTTAGTTGACTCATCTTTTTTTAACCCAGAAAATGAACATACTTGGATTACTTTCACTGATTGAACAACTTGTAGAAAAGGAGACTTAACGGCTTGTAGAAAAGGAGACTTAACAGCTTGTAGAAATGGAGACTTAATACAATCTAGTCTCAATTGAACAGAATTCCTAAAATATTATAGTCTGTATTACATGACAGCCATTCAAATGTGAAAATAAGTACAGGAGGAATGAACAGTAACACCTGTCATTCTTTTCCTAGCACAGAAGATCATCATGACACATTTTGTCAGACTCTGTCCCTCCCTCCTGCAGTGATCTCAGAATACAATGTGTGTCTTGCTAATACCAACAGCGAGTTAGCAGGATACTCAGCCCAGAATCTAGTGGAGTTCCAGAGAGAAAACAGAGAAGCCACATTTACGTGAAAGGGAGGAGGAATGACAAACCAAGATAAATTGTTCAACTGATCCTGCTACTTTATTCACTTGTGTGCATTTTAACCATGTTCAGGATATTTTTCACCTGTTTGGTAAGTTCCACAAAAGCCTTAGAAAGTTTCTGGTAGTAACCTTCTATTGTTGCCTTTCCATATCGGCCACTGGTGTTTCGACAATACACCATGTAGTGCAGCTGTGGTGTTGTTAACAAGCCATAATCTGTCCAGAAATACAAAAAACAATTTGCCTCATTTCTCAATAAAGAAAAAAGTTTACATGCATTCATCCTCTAAGACTTTCAAGGTGACAAATCCTCTTTCAAAAAAGGCATTTCAGGGTTGGAGATGTAGCTCAGTTGTAGAGCACTTTGCCTAGTGGGTACAAGGCTGTGGATTCAATCCCCAGTACTACCAGAAAGGCATCTTGGCCTGGCAGTTCATCTCAGGTGGTGGAGGACTTGCCTAGCATATGAGTTTGATCCTCACAGTGGCGGGGGAAAAGGCATCCCAGAAAACACAAGAACACTTTTCTTATTGGTATATGTTTGCAATATATAATAATTACACTTGTCTTGGGGAATTGCTCTATATACATATCACTAACTTTCAAACTACTATTCAGATGCACAAATACCCACTAAAACTATATTTCACATCCAATTCTGAATTATAAATTATTAATAAAAAATAATCATTTAGTATAGACAGGTAACTAAATAAATATAAAATACAAAAAAAGCAATAATGGAATTCTGTTTCTAATAACATTATAAACTTTAATTCAAATGAACCATCCTCCTCAAAGCCACCAAAAATTCTGCATAAAAGAAAAAAATCTCTTTGGAAAAAAACTGCACAATTGACAAATTCAGAAGAATTATCAGGCCAAACTCTATGTAAAGACAGGGATTTCAAGATCTGAGCTAAGAGAAGCCAGTTTGGCTATAAAGGCATTCCTCTCAAGTAGAAACAGCTCTGGGTTTCAGTGCAAAAAAACTAACATGGGGAAACCAGGAGAAGACCAGACCCTGAAACCCCAACAGACTACATATTCACTGCAAAGAGCAGGCAGAAGTGAATCACTCCAAGTCTACACTCCCAGGATGGCTACGTTGGCAGTGAATAGAGGAGAGGAGGAAAACCCACCCTTCAAAAACTGTCACCATGAGCACGGGTTCTTGTATGGGGCAGCAGCCCCAATACACATCTCCATAGGGGTTCAGATAAAGGAAGTTAAAGGAGACCCAGCCAGGCAGTGCCCCAGGCACCCAGCAGAGGAAAACACTAAATTCTGCCAGAGGAATACACCTTTATCAAAAAATCTTAAATATGTCCCATAAACAATTTTCTGAGAAAAACAGCTTCCAGTCAAATACAACTAAGTACACAAGAAAAGTACCATGAGCAAGAAACAAGAGAAATGGACAACAGAGAGGGCTAGTATCCAATAGCTAAACATTCAGTGACTAAATCTGTCCATGGACTTGAAAATCAAACAAGAGTCTATACTAGAGGTAAAAAAGGAACCATTTTAAGTTCTTAAGCCCTAAAAGTTAATGTTATTTCATGAAGGTAACTTTAGTTCTGGCATAAAGAGAAAGAAGGAAGTAGAGGAGCTCAAAAACAAAGTGAGTAACAGCTTAGACTAATTAAGTGGAAGTGTTTAAAGAGACAACTATTATTCCAACAGACATACTAAAGGCAGGAAGATTTTGTGACCAATATTAAAATTACCAAATAAACATTCGCTACATGACTACTACATATACTGACTAAAAGTCATCATTATCTACACTATCAAATTTTTTCTATTTCTCATGGTTTCATCTCTCCTGTATGAACTATGTATGTGCAAGAGTGGTCCAGCTGGTCTCTTCTTTCCTTACAACTTTTCCTTCTCTATACAATAATCAGTGACTTGCTAAAAAAAAAAAAAAAAAAAAAAAAAGTGATCCCAGAACTTTGGGAAACTGAGACAGGAAGATCACAAGTTCAAACACAGCCTAGGCAACTTGGTTTCTTAGTCAGACCCTGTCTCAAAATAAATAAAAAATGGGCTAGGCTTGTAGCTCAGAGTGAAGCCTCTGGGTTTAGTCCCAGTACTATACAAAAAAAATAAAATCCTTCAATCAAACTGAACTGCATTTGGAAAACAACCTAAATCCTTGCCATGACCTATAAGGCTTAGAATGATTTGGCCCCTGCTTTCCTCCTTAACCTTATCTTCTACTCCTCTACTACTTCCTCATTCTCCCTATGCTGCAACTACATTAATCCTTCTTAAAATACACTAAGCTGAAGAGATATGGGAGAGTTTAAAAAAAGTTACTTTCAAATTCTTCTAGACATGTACACTAGACACTAGAACAATAATGATTCTAGAGAGAACTGAAAATGACAAAGAACAACCGTTCTAAGGATGGTGAAAAGAACATAGTTTTAGACCCAAGATGGAGCAGGCTACCTATGTGAACACATCCCTCAGATACTACTTTCCATCCTGCAGGGCACGGCCTGCCAGTGTGTCAGTGAATGTCCTTGGTGGGACACAACCAGCATTTCTGTAATTGTTCTAATGAAACAAATGAATGCATGCCCTGCATAATAAGTGAGATTCAATAACTCAAACCACTGTTTCAGCTATCCACACAACTGCACATAAACATGGCATGATATAAAACAAGTTTCACACTGTAGTGACACACAATGTAATAGATTACTGGTGACTGTCCACAGCACATAATCAAAAATATCTGAGAAACTACTAATGAATAAAGGTCACTGGGGCTATAGCAAGAGAGATGACCATTCAGAAACCAGGTAGAATAAGCAAAATGGATCTTTATCAAGAAAAAGAAGAGGAGCCAGCAGAAAAGCCCAATAAGGAATGTGGCCAAACAAGTAGAAATTTAAGAGAAAGAATGAGTTTTAACTGTGGAAGCTAGAAAGATGTCAACTAAAATAAAAACTTTAAAACATACATTTTTAGGACATAGGTCTCTGTAGGTATCTGACAAAAGCTATGAAGCTTCTCCCTAGAAAAGCACTTATGTAGGTAACATGCTGCATGTGTCCAGGGGACCACAGAGTCACTACAGCTTAACGAGAAACTCAACGGGGCCCTGGGGCCCAGCTTGAGAATCCCCACTTGATTGTGTCCGCCCAATCTGGTGATCAGAATTCAGCATGGAGGAGATGTTTCCCTGGAGAGGTGAGGGAAGAGATTCACCTGCAGCCGGCTGAGAAGCAATGGAGGTGAAAAAAGAAGCCAGCAGAGTGAGCTCACAGAGCTAGAGGTCAGATCCACTGAGAAAAGCACACAGCAGAAGCTAGAGGAGATTTCAAAGTCCACAGAAGATTTCTTAATGAGAAAGATCTGAGACTAGGAGAAATTCACCTCAAAGCACAGTGGAGTCATTGCCTTCACAAGACAAGAGGACTCCACCCTCCACTGTGCTGTATTTCAACTCATTTGATAAAACAGGAGGAAGTGCCTATCAAATCTTAAAACCATGATTACATGCAGGCCAAAGATATTTTCCACCAGTGTGTGACAGGTGATTGGTTATTAGGGAATACCTAAAACTGACCAAAAAAGACCCCACCCAAAATGGAATTCTTCTGTCATCTTCAAAAAATTTTATATCAAGAAATCCAGCCTTCCTAAAGTAAAGTAAGTTATATAAAATCAATGTTTTCTACCCAAAATTTCCTACAGTACTCCCATAGGTTAAAAAAACCTGCCCAGGAAAAATCTGACCCTAAGACTATTTTAAGATAATAATATTTTATACCTAAAAGTTAATTTTTTAACTATATTATTCATCTATAATTTCAAATAAAAAAGACATATTTTATAATTTTAAAAAAATTGTTTTAATTTACAACTAAGGATAGTTACATACCATGGAATTGACCTCCTAAAACAGTTACTCCATCTATTACAGAATGTGAAAGTTTCTCACTGCTGGGTCTAGGAAGGACAAAGAAGAAAAATATATCTCTCCTGAGAACAACAGAGTTGCTGAATGTGACAGCAAATACACTACCAACTTCAAAATAATAAATTCACTATATCTGTACTGAAAGCAAACAACTCTGAAAGATACAGGTAAATTATAAGCATTTTCCAGTAGCCTTTCAAAATTAATCTCTTGGAAAACTTTTGGCTTTTAAATTAATTTAGAGAATAAATATAAAGGATAACCTTAATATATCACAGCCAAATACCTTTCCAAGTGTGACTAAAGCAACACACATGATAAACTAGTAACAGCAACAACAGTGAAAGCTAACAGTTTGTGTAAATACAGTGCTGGATATTAAACTACTACAGACACAGAACCTACTTTTCATTTTATAATATCAGAAAGAATTATTTATCTGAAAATAAGGCTGATCTTTATATAACTTCCTTTTAGAAGAAGATGTAATCACTTGAATTAGTTTAATAAGTAAGGAGTCAAATACATGTGGGGTAATAATTTACTTCAGGATACAAATCAACTATTTCTGCTACCTACAAATCTACCACCATTGGTACTTCCAAGACTCTCTAATAACCCAATAAAGGGTGAAAAACAAACTCCAAGCTACTAGGAGAATGAGGAAATATTTCCTTTTGAAAGAACCTCTGGATAAAACCCGATCTTTTGCAAAAGGCAATGCTACACACTCAAAGTACTACACTTTGGGCCAGGGATTTAGCTCAGTGGTTTTGCTGCCTGCTGCGCAGGCGCAAGGATCCGAATTCGATCCCTGGTACCAAAAAAAAGAAAAAAAAAACAAACACAAAGTACTACACTTTTAATCTAACATTTCACAAAAAGATATGCTTTTATAAAGACAAACTCTGTCAAATATATAAAATATAAATTAGCGTTTTTCTGTCAACTACAAAATGAAAAAACTATATAAATATCTGAACCAATGATAACACAGATTACAAAGAAAATCTGTAAAGGTAATGAGTTAAAATCACAGTGTATTCTGACTCTGTAGGGGGAATAATCCTATAGAATGTGCTTCTCTCCTGCCAGGAGGTATCTTGCATGTATTATTCAATTCTCACAAGAACACTATAATAGGCCTTATAATCAACAGTTTATACATGAGGAAACAGAAGCTCCAAAATAATAATCCATTCAAATTGTGTAAGAGAGAGGAGTGGAGTTCAAAGCAGAATTAGACTCCAAAACTCAAGCTGCAGTTATGCATCAGTTCCTCTATCTTACTACAGAGGCCAGTCTGGGAGAGACGCCACTCAGAGCAGCTCCACTCTCCTTCCTTCTTTCCATCTGTCTTGGGCATTAAAACCAATGCAATCACTCGTACTGTAGTCACACTGCCTCTGCAGAAACTCACCTGGTATCTCTACCAATCACCACAAAGGCATCTTGCTGCAGATCCACAGCTTCACTCTCACTGATGTCAACAAGCACTCTCTGCAGATCTTGCTCCTCAGCATTTGCCAGACGTGTAGCGTGCTCCTCCCAGGATGGCGCCAACATTTCACCCAAAGGATCGACCAATTTCACACCATTGTCTTCCTTCAAAGCAAAATAAACAATATGTCATCTGTACACATCCATGAGGGTGAGCTAAGGAAGCATTCTTGCTGCTTTTTTTACCCCGAAACACAACAGGAATGGCTGAGCAGCATCAGTGGTTACCATCTAACAATGGTGCTGGCAGGTGTTTTAGTCCGTATCTCCTTTCCTCCTCATGACATACTTATTGATGTAATTAACAATCTATTCTTACTGCAGCTTAGAAAAAAACAGGTTCAGAGAGGTTAGGGAATGTGCTTATGATCATACAACTATTAAATATCAGCGCCAATATTAAAACACCAACTCCATCTTACTTAAACCTAACAACTGCAATGCTACACAAGTTTTTCTCAAAGCTGTCATCTGTGTCTCTTATCAGTTAACAATCTGAGGCAAAAAGGGGCAGGGGACATCAGACTCCCTTCTCCCTGGGACTCTGGATTCCCAGAGCAGGCTGGCCCGCACAGCCACCAGAAGTTGACTCCAGGTGCTGATCTGCTCAAATTCCTATAGTTCAGAGTGAATGTCAACTGAAACAGCTCAGAATTATTCTGAGAAATGCTTCTGAAACCAGCTATAAATGTGAGGTTCTTCCTACATGTCATCAATAAATTACAATCATTTATTTGTTTAGATGCATACGGTGATCACACATTTAGAGGTCAGAAAAGCAATGTCCTCATTTTGAGGGAAGAGGTTACCATCGATAATTGAGATCTACATAGCTTCTACTTGTTGGTGATTTAGCTACAAAGACAAAAATCTCATGCCTTAGTAATCAAAGAGAAGCATATTATTCAAACCATGTATTAGTGGACTATAGGCAAGAGAAAATAAAAGCCAAATTATGTCAAAACAGTAGCTAAGCTTGGCACAGTGGCATATGCATGTAATTCCAGCTCCTTCGGAGGTTGAGGCAGGAAGATTGAAAGTTCAAGAATAGCCCAGGAAACTTAGTGAGATCCAAAAAGGCCTGGGGATGCAGCTTGGTGATAAAGTATGAGCCCAGCATGTGTGAGGCTGAATTCAATACCCAGCACTCCAAAAGAAAAAAAGTAGCCAAGATAGAGAAACAACCTAAGTATCCACTGACATATGAAAGTACAGTGATCTATATACACAGCAATATATAGTATTCAGCTTTAAAGAAAAAAAGAAAAAGAAAATCCTGCTATTTGCAACAACACAGCCAAACCTGGAGAACATTATACTAAAAGAAACAAGCCAGATACAGAAAGATACCACAAGATCACTTATTACATGGGAATATAAATGACTGAATTCATAGAAATAGTAAAATGATGATCGTAAGAGGATGTGGAGGAATTATTCTGAAGACTAGAACCTCATCAATATTCTGCCCAAAACTCACTTTTGGATCCCCAGACTCAGCTGTTGGCTATTCATTCAGAACAGGATACTACTGTGTAGCTATTTTTAAAAGTCTGAAATACTCCAAAATATGTCTTTTCAAAGGTTTGCCTTTCTCCCACCTATCTCCACCTGTGTAATCACTCCTAAGTTAACAGAGGTTATATTTTTTAACTATTAATACTGTCCTCAATTCAACTACTGTAAATTGAAAGGACATTATATTACTTCTCTAACATGGACATGCTCCAAAAAAGCCTTATTTCATTCTCTCCACATCCTTCTCTGAGTCTTAAGCTAAATGACCACTCTATTAAGAGAGTTGTTTGGAAGCCAAACACACATATAAGTAAGGCATGTTCCTGGAATTGGAATTTGTATTTTGGCTCAAACTGCTCAGGCACTAGGATTTAACCCTGCAAACAATGGTTGCTTTATCAGAGCACTGCATGTATTACCTCAGGATTGTGTGATGCCGTGACCATGACTCCTATGGTAGCTTTCATCTGTTTTGATCTCAGGACTGCTAACAATCCCATGCGGTACATGATATGATCAAGATGTTCTGCATTTGTTCGAAATCCAGCAGTTCCATATTGAAGAACAAGTCCACTGGGCTTGGCATGTAATGTTGAGTGGTTTGTAACAGCACCTAAATCCATGTCTACAAAACTAAGAAACATTTTTCAGGCATAATAAATCTTTCAAGGACCATTTGCTTCAAAACTGCTACTCCAGGTGTGGTGGCCCATGCCTGTAATCCTAGCACTCGGGAGGCTGAGGCAGGAGGATCACCTCAAGTTTGAGGCCAGCCTGGGATACATAGTGAGTTCAGGACCTAAACTATCTGTCTCAAAAAACCAAAAGCAAACAAACAAACTGCCACTCCAACACAACAGGTCTGCTTCACTGTGAAGCTCCCCAAGGATCTCTGAGTGGGCAAAGAACAGCAGGTTAAGTTCCCAAGGTTAGACTGACTCAGAAGTGGGCATGGGATTTAGATCAGTGCTAGGGTGCTTGTCTAGCATGTGTTGAGGCCCTGGGTTCAATTTTGGTGGTGGTGGGGCACCTAGAAGTTCCTGCATAACTTGTGTTGTTCATTCCAAGACAGACTGAGGCCAGAAATCAGTTTGTCCCAACTTACCTCCCATTTTGCTCCCAGACTATTCTGAGGTAAAGTGAAAATCATCTAGTAGCAATTAAAATGAAGATTTTATACCTAGAGTCAGAGACCACCTCATTTTACTAAAGGGAAAACTTAAGCCTGAGCCCCAGGGAAACTAAATTCAACTATGTAGCTGGTGTGAGAGTGAGGCCTAATGTCAGATTTTCAAGTGGACTATATATCCCCTAAATTGCTGAGAAACCTGCCAGGTTCATTTTGTGACTCCTCCTGAAATCACATGTTCCCAAAGGAAAAGCAAAGGACTGTTAATTGTTTTTTCTTCAAGATTGCCCAGATGCCCTAATATGCTTTACAGGGGATTCTCCAGTTCTCATAAGGAAAATCAGGCCATCCTTTGAAATAAAGCTCTGAAACCAGCCACATCTTCTAAGTAATATCACCTTTGCCTTAATTAAAAAAAAAAAAATCAAACATGGACTCAGCCCACTACCATTTCTTTCTCTGGGAAACTTCACCTCAGTGGAACTTGGGAGTTTCCAACCTCGGCCGGCAAGGTACCCTTAGAGATTCAGTCATACACATGCCATTTTGGGGTCACTTCCTTCCAAATTAGCCCAGAGATGTGGCGCAGTCCCACAGCTGTCAGCCTCACCCTCTAACTAATTTAACCTTTAACGGATTCAACAAGTAGAAGTTAAAAGAAATGGCAAAGCCGGGGATTTAGCTCAGTGGTTCCGCCGCCTGCCTCGCAAGCGCAAGGACCCGAGTTCGATCCCCAATACCAAAAAAAAAAAAAAAAAGAAAAGAAATGGCGGAAATGTTTTTGTCCAGTTGGAAAAAACTGACATTCAGCAAACTAACTTCCCTTGGGCCGAAGTGACCATTCACTTTCACAAGGCTAAATCTTTCTAAAAACTGACCGGTCAGGAATGTATCATCATTATTCATTAGGGCATGAAGCAGTCCCTTTAGATCAAGAAAGTTTTCAAAAAAATTTTTAAAAAGCGAGATAACATGCTTTCACCCTGCAATGGGGACGCGAATGCTTCTATTAAAAGTATATTTTCCAAGCCCTAACAGCGTCCCCTGGAAAAAAGTTAACATCAACCCCTTTTCTCCATTCAACCATCCTCCTCGGTGCAGCTCCCCTCCTAGCTCGGGAATCACCGCGAGGCTGCAGGGTGCGGACCCCGGCGGACTCAGCCCATTCGCCCCGCTCTAGACCGCCCGCTCCCGGGCTCACAGAGGTAGGCGTGACCCGCGCGCGGGCCGAGGGTCAGTCGCTTAGCCGGCCTGCTGGTCGGTCCAGCGGGCCGAAATCCTGCCCGGCCGGCTTCCATGGAGCCCCAGCCGTCCAGAACAACCCCTTCTCGCCTCCACGTTTCGGGCGGCTCACCTCTACCTGAAGACTCTCCCTCCTCCTCTGGGCCCAGGCTCAACAGGACCACAAGACGAGAGCGCTCCGCACCCGCAGACGTGGCCTTGCGTTGTTTCCGGGCCGTTGCTCCGCCCCCCGGCCAATCACGGCAGAGGAGCCTCACGGCCCCGCCCCGGCCGTGCCGCCGCTCTCGCGCATCTAGAGCCTGCAGATCTGCGGATGCGGCTCTGCGCGGGCTCTGGGGCTGTTTCAATTGAGTGGCCAGGAAGGGTGAGGCACCGCGATGGCCCAGGGTTTGGGCCTGTGTGCGAGCACTGGGATGCCAGTCTCCACTTCCAGATGTGGGTTTTGGGGGGAGGCCGACCTCGCGTTCCTGGGTAGCCAGTGTTCTTAGTTGGTCATGGATAGGGTCAGGGTGGGAAGTAGTGAGCCAGTGGCCTCAGCTACAGTAAGTGCTGCTGGGCTCCTGCATCCCTCTCCGGATTGTCGCGGTCATTTCTCACATCTGTGACTGCGGAAAGCCTTCTCGAGCTACCCCTCCCCCTGCGCTGTCATTTTCTGCCTTTACCTTTCAGACAGACACCCCCCGTCCTGGCACTGGGGGATCCAAACCGTCCAGAGCTCCCGAGATGCCGCCCCAGGCGAGGGTGGATCTCGGGGGCACGCTCCCCGAGGGTTCCCGGCGTGGCGTCCGGACCGACGGGTAGCGGCTGGCAGTGGGGGTGGCGGCTCCTGCAATCCTGGGCGTAGGAGACCTAGAGCCTCGGCCTTTCGGTCCCTCTCGCCGCAGCGTCCTGCTCCGCGCTAGCCTATAACCGGGTGGGAGAGGGGTCCCTGCCTTTCTCGGAACGCTGACTTGCAGCGTTTCTGCAGGTGTCATTTGCATCCACCTGCAACGGTATAATTCGGAACACCTGTTGAAAGGGCCAATTCCTAACTCTAGATCGGGAGGCAGGTGGGGGGAGGGACTAGGAATCTGGACGTTAATGGGTATTTTGGGGATTGTTGTTTATATTAGATATGGGCATCAGGAGATTAAATCGATGGTGTGTAAATGTCCGGATCTGTGCCCTAGCTCTCCGTGCAGTGCTTCCTGCGGGACTGCATCCTGGGAAAGGGATCTTCTGGAAATTTCCCTGGAAACCAGCTGACATTATTAAGCCGAGAGCCCCCGGGCCTTTCCAGGTTTCCAGGCAAGTCGATTTTGAGACAACATGTCGGCTTTAGTGAACGAAAGCCTTCAGCTTCAGCTGCTGGAGATGGAAATGCTGTTTTCTATGTTTCCTAACCAAGGAGAAGTAAAACTTGAAGATGTAAATGCCCCGAGGAATATAAAGAGATATTTGGAAGGCACAAGGGAGGCGCTGCCACCAAATATTGAATTTGTGATTACGCTTCAGATTGAGGAGCCCAAGGTGGGTGCCTTCATTTGTTTCCGGTGTTGCTAGGTGCCCAGTTTTTAACTGAAATCCTTGCTGTGTGGGCTTCCTGTTTAGGAAATAAAGAATATTCCAGACGCATATTCCCTTGTTTGGAAGCAAAACCTGCAACATAGGATGCTCAATAAATGATTTTCAGTAAACATCCTGAACTTTGTATGAATATGCACATCTTTTAAACAAATATATGCCCAGTGCCTTTATTGAAAATATCTTAGTCTTACACTCACATTATTTCTGTTTACTCATCCAATTTCTTACCAATCCAACTGTTGTACAGATTACCATTACAGATACCATGATTTTCATAAGTCTAAATATTACGTGTAACCAAACAAGCTTTTAAAAAGGGAATGTTTTTGGATTTGGCCCCATATGCAGAAAGCAAATACATAAAATCTGAATGTTAAGAATGAATTTACTTCCATCTTCTGATTCATTCATATCCAACAGAAGCAGCATGGAGTAACATTGGACAGGTCATTTGAGGGCTGTTTTACCTATTTCCTAATCATCTTTCAGTTGTTATGCTAAGAAAGCTTCTTGCCTCCCTAGACTGTATTCTGTCCTGATGGTTACACACTTCAGTGAAACCCAGAACTTTCTCATGGTAATGCTTTTCATGAGTGAAATTAAATACTGCCTATATGGAATTTTTTTTTTTTTGGTCTAATGTGTGTCTCCTTCACTAGGCTCTAGACTTCATGAAGGCAGTAGTGTCTGACTGTTCACTTCTTTATACCAGCACAGGGCACCTAGCATGTGTAATTCAATAAATATTAAAAAGAATGCCTAAATGTAAAGAATTGTGTATATAAATGACTTGGTAGATAGCTGACAATAGCAGTAATGATTATTCTCTTTAACAGAATGCAGTTGCAACTGATAAACTAGCTTGTGTGGTTTTATGATATTTAACTCTATTTGATTTTGATTTTAAGGTGACAGTTGACTTACAAGTAACCATGCCTCACAGCTACCCCTATGTAGCATTGCAGCTATTTGCCCGGTCACCTGAGCTTGATAGACAACAGCAGCTACTTCTCAACAACAGTCTCACTTCTTATATAGGGACTTTTGATCCAGGTGAGCTCTGTGTATGTGCAGCAATTCAGTGGCTCCAGGACAATAGTGCATCCTATTTCCTAAACAGAAAGCTTGAGCATGAACCATCTGCACACGCAAAGCCAGTCAAGAACACATTCCTCCGAATGTGGATCTACAGTCACCATATCTATCAGCAAGACCTAAGGAAAAAGATTTTGGAAGTGGGGAAAAGGTTAGATGTGACTGGATTTTGCATGACAGGAAAACCTGGTATAATCTGTGTAGAGGGTTTCAAGGAGCACTGTGAGGAGTTCTGGCACACAATTCGGTACCCCAACTGGAAGCACATTTCCTGTAAGCACACAGAGAGCATGGAGACGGAAGGAAATGGCAAGGACTTGCGCCTTTTCCATTCTTTTGAAGAATTACTCCTTGAGGCCCATGGTGACTATGGATTAAGGAATGATTATCACATGAATCTGGGTCAATTCTTAGAATTTCTCAAAAAGCACAAAAGTGAGCATGTTTTTCAGATATTATTTGGTATTGAAAGCAAAAGTTCAGACTCCTAGGACGTTATTGAGGCCTGTGCTTATAATTTCCCTAAGTCAGTTAGGGAAATCTATTATCTATTAATAAGACCAAAATAAAAAGGCCGGTGGCTATGTAGCATCTTCAGTGAGAACTCTAGCTCCAGAATTTTCAACTGGTGATGAAACAAATAGGCCTTGTAACTTTATAATAGTGCAATTGTGATGTTACCTGTAGGTTCCTGTGTTGTCTTTTGAAAACTATTTCATTGTAATAAAAACAGTCCATTTAACTAGTGAAGCTGATTTGATTAAGGAGTGTAAAGCCTCAAAGTTAATATTAGAAATCAAACTGCAGTTATGAATTCATAACTATGAACAGTGTTTCTCTCCTTCATGATGTCAGCACATGGGTGACATACCTGCTTGCATCATTGGAAATGAATTCTAAATGAAAGAACAAATGAGAATAAAGGAAAATCATGTGTCTACTACATTTCACCCCCTATTTCAAGTGTATTTGAGTAAAACTAGATACTAGAAATAATAGCAGAGAAATCTTAGTAATGAAATCCCAAGAGTAAAAGTAACAAACATCCCATGATATGTATTTTTCCTCAGCTGATTATATCAGTTGGTCAAAGATACTAGAAATAATGATAACAGTATTCTTCATTCAATTCTTATGCACAAAAAATATTGGATGAAGGGAACCGGTGAGGAGGGCTACACAATGACCTCATTGGAGGAGAAAAAAAAACTACAATTTGATAGGTCACTGACTGCCATGTCTTAAACAAAAATTCTGTTCCACCAGTCTATTTCAAAATGAGAGTTGATTTTAATGATTAAACCCCCTATTTAAGTAGCCCTTGCCAATCCTTCCATTACTAAGTATCTATATTCTCTAAGACCTGGGAATCTCCCAAGTGCTGAAGTGTTTCCTGAGCAGCCCCTACAGCTTTCCCCATTTCCATGGTCTCCCCTTAGCCTTACTGCCCTTCCCTGTGGAGCTGTCCATTCTCACACTGAGCCAAGGTACCCCACTGATGGCCTGGTCCTTTCAGGATGCTAAAACTAGGTGATGGGCTTGAGTGACGAGGAGGAATGCCTTATACATAACAATTCTGCTTGATGCCAGTGGAGCTCATATACTTTGATGAAACAGTACCTTCTGGTTTTACTGTCAGTCTAGGAGGCAGACATTTGTCCTTGGGCAAGAGAGGAAACATAATGGACCAGCAGACCCTGCTTAATCAGAGGCCCCCTGTGTCTGTGTGGCCTTGAAACTGGGTCTACCTGGTAGCTCAAAATAAGTTTCCTCTCAAGGCACAATTTTAAGCCAAGGCACTGGTGCAGAGCCTGCCCTACCAGAGATGAACTTGCCCTTTCGTCTTTAAATCCTAGCCTTGGATGGTACTGGAGCGCAAGTTATGACCTCATTCTTTACCTATATGCAAAGGGAAGAAATACTTTGCCAAAGATTCATTACTCAGCATTTATTAGAACTTAATAAAAGCATAGTATAGGAGTTATTTTCCACATAAACTCCCCAAATGATGAGTGTGATTAACAGTCATACTTTATTAGATCTTTTTTTTTTTTTTGGTACCAGGGATCGAACTCAGGACCTTGCGCTTTCAAGACAGGCAGCAGCACCACTGAGCTAAATCCCTGACCCTTCTATTTTATTTTATTTTAATTATTTTATTTTATTTTTGTACTGAGAATTGAACCCAAGGCTTCCTACATGCCAGACCAGTGCTGTACCACTGAGCTACATACAATCCTAGTCTTTTCATAGGTCTTCCACAGATAACTTCTCTAACTTTTCATTCTTTGAAATGAGACAGTGTTTTACACCTTCATAGAGGTTTTTTCCTATGATTAGTAAAAATCACTACAGAAGTATAAACAAAATATAGAACAAAAATAGTTTATTTACATAATCTCAGGCTTATGGACTTTTTCTGGAGCTATTTCTAATATTTCAGAACCTGCTTTTACATACCAAATATACTCCTAAACTTTTTTTCTATTAGAAGCGCAAATAATAGACATTTATTATGGGAGAAGTGTAAGTTTTAGTAAAGATATACATTTTACATATATATGATATCATACATGATCATTCAAAACTCAGCTTTGTGTGTACACAGGTGGTGTTTGTTCAACTTGAAAAGAATGCGTACAACATTTCCCCCCACCCTCATATACACACAGCCCTTACTTGGGGAATCGCCTCTTTTTAGGGTTTAAGAGGGGAAAATGACTGGAATCAATTTGGGAAAGCTGCAGTGAATTTTTAAAGCTTACTGAATTAAATCAAGCACTTCAAGTGTATTTTTCTTCTTAATCCTTAGTGTTCTGTGTTAAGTATCTTAAGCTCTAAAGTATCCTAAGAGCTGAGGATAGTTTAAGGAGTGACCCAGTGAGTTGGCAAATATGACCATGGACCTCTAAAACATCCCTGCATCAAATTGAAAAATCAGGATTTCCTTTTTTTTTTTTTTTTTTTTTGTGGTACTGGGGATTGAACTCAGGACCTTGTGCTTGCAAGGCAAGTGGAGTACCATTGAGCTAAATCCCTGGCCCCAGAATTTCTTGATAGTTCACATGCCATCCATCAGAGAACTTGAAGAGGTTCTGAGGGTGTCTATCTGAGGTCTTCATGGACCCCTTTGAACAAGATAATTTATTTGCTTTTTTTTAAACCTCAAGTAGCCTAGCAGTGAATCAAAAGAACAGTTATTTTCTGAAGAGGGCATGGTATTACACAGAATCCTGATTAGGCACAGAAATTCTGACCCCCTTGGTTCTCCTTAAGGTCCACATGGTAGAACTTACATCACTGCAGCCAGAGACCTTTTTCTGAGTCTGGTCAAAGCATGGTCCCACAAATGAGTTTGAGTAGTGTACACACAAAATTTGAAGTCCACCAAACACCAAATGCTGTCCTTAGTAACAGGAGGAATTAATTCTTCAGTATGAAGGGGACATGCCGCCATGCCCAACACTGGACCTTCACAAAACTTGGCTCAGGTGGCAGGCTCCTGTGTTTGCATGACATTTATCTTCTACCTTCTGGCATATTTCTCACCAGGCATTCAGGGAACCCAGTGATTTCTGAGTTCTAGATCCTATCTGCAGAGCATCATCAGTGTGTTGGACCACCTAGTGCCCAGTACAGTGGTGAGATGGTCAAGGTCCAGTATCAAGAATGGTACTCTAATCCAGACAGAATTCATATAACACTGAAAATAGATGATATGCCTTGTTTATTGAGATATGGCAAACTTTCTGGTGGTCTCGACTTGCTGGAATAAAGAAAAAAAAAAGCATGGACCAAATTAATAGCTCCATACTGATTTGCTCCAAGAAAGAGAACTTGTCTGCCAGCAGCTGCAATTGAAATCACATCTGAGGAACATGTGCTATCATTCTGAGAGCCATCTGACTCCTGCATGTGCCAAAGATCATTGAGATGTGATCAGAATCACATCTCTCTTCTTTTGAGGCTGGGATTTATCTCTGTAAATCTCTTGTTATCTCCTAATGGAACGATCCTTTATTTATGATCAGAGACGTGGGGATACTGTCATAGAAGATACCAATTCTTATATGATAAACACCTACAATTTTATCCATCAATTTAAAAAACAAGTTATTTTTAAAATAATCAATTGAAACTTTATTGGGAAAACAGCTAAAGGATGGGTTCAGTTGTGTAATATGTATGTCCCATATAACACAGTGGTTTCAGAGACCCTAGAAATTTATATTCATATCTGTTCCCAGGTGTCCTCCAAAAGGCCTAGTTGCTTCCTTTCTAATGTATTTTGTTTTCCTAGTCAATGGAACCCTCAAGGGAAGAGTGTGGGAACACATTATCATAGAGTTCTTCATCTTAGGGGTTTTTCACTCATATCTATGTGTGGCACTTTGATAGCTGCAGTCAAGCTTTCCTGCTGTCATATATATCAAGTAGGGTCTACATGGGTTGAATATGTATTTGGTCCTAAATTGGGCTGAGATTCATCTGATGTGTACTGGTGTTGCTATGTAAGTTTTTTACAGTGATATCCATTTTTTTCTTGCTCAGCACCTATACTGTCTGCTTGTTAATTTTTTGAACATCATTTCAAGCCACAGGGCCCTTTGATTAACTCTCCACCACTGAAAATTTCTGTGGGCCAAACAATTCTGATTACTTTTGACCTGCTTGTATTATAACTGTTTCCATCTTGTGTCCATTTAATAAATGTTTAAAAATGCTATTAAGCCCCTGCCAATTCCAAGATTCTGATGTCTCCGTTGAAATATGAAAAGCACTTTAAGCATAGCACTTCTCACAAGCCTTCCCAACATAAAGTGAAGTCATTAAAATGCTTTGCATGGGCTCTGGGATTTCTCTGAAAAATGTTACGTCTGAAGGCCTTTGAAAAAGGGAAGAGTCACTGGTTAATCCTCTCAAGAGACTTAGTTATGGGATCATTAAGATGGGGATGGTCAGGTTGGGTTGTACACCAAAAATCCACTCCAATATTGCTACCATTGTAAAGCTTTGTTTTCCTTTCTATTGTTTCTAGGAATGTTTCTATTATGATTCTCATTTCATATAGGCCTTTACTAAGCCCATGTTTCACTCAACAACCTTAATGAACCAATGTAATCACTGCCAGTTGCTCAAGGATGCCCACTAAATCCAGAATCTGTGGCAAGTGCACCTTTGTTGATTCTGCCCAATCCAAAATTAATATGTCTCCTTAGAATAACATTCTCAGAACCCCATACATTTTCCTCAGGTTTTGCATAATATAAATGAGCAAAATCTAGAATTCTTTTTGTCTGAGTCTGCTCCTATAGGTCTGTCTTTCTAACTGTATCCACCCTTGCCCTTTTCCATTCTGTAGTGTGATTTTTTTTGTATATAGAGATTATGAAACATAATTTGGAATTTGGAATAAGTATGAGGTAAATTAGCTTCCGTTTGCAAACTAAGCATTAAGTCATGGGAGGATACTATAGGATCTTCAAGCAAGGCAATAACCACCTGTTTAGACAGGAGGCCCTCATGTGATTAGCAAGGGAGAACATGCCAACTACCCAGGTTGCCTGGGACTCAGAAGTGTCCTAGGATGTAGGACTTTTAGTCCTCAAATCTAGAGTACTATTTATCATAATTTAAGATATTCTAGGGCTGGAGATTTAGCTCAGTGGTTCTGCTGCCTGCCTCACAGGCACAAGGTCCTGAGTTTGATCCCCGGTACCAAAAAAAAAAAAAAAAAATTAG